GCTACGTGTCAAGGCTGCAAAAAGAGCGACATGCTCTCAATGCACTCCTACGGCCAGCAGACATCCCTCGAATCAAGCCTGCACCACCCGAACAACCCGAATCCGACTCCGTCCCATCATCACAACCATCACCGCCCGAACAAATCGACCTGTCTCTATTAGAACCGTCGCAACGAGAAATCTTTGCACAAATAAACCCCGAAGCCGCCAAACAACAACAAGAACCTGACACCCAGCCCATGGAAACCGAGCCAGCAGCACCCGAACCAAACCTCTTACCCCAAATGTCACCCTCCACCGTTTCCACCCGACTCTTTCGCATCACCCACTCACTCGCACCGACCCTCGACTCCCTCGCCGCTGGCATCCACGACATCGACCTCTACCGCACAATGTCCGATACAGTCTCGACCCGCATCCTCCGCATCTGCGCCGAGCGCCTCGACGAGCGCGACGCACGTCGTCGACTCGCGACAGCCGAAACCAGCGCCGACGAAACCAACAACCGTCAAGACCTCAGCCTCCGACCACGACCCCGAGAAGACCTCGGCGTGATTCTTGGGGCGTTGAGCCGAGTAGAGCGTCGCTCGACGTAGTCTCGGTATCAATCACATAGGATGACGCTTGTTACTATACATATCCATGAAACATATCCATGAAAGAAGGGGGCAGAGAGCGGTTCATTACAATCTGTTATGTCATGTATTTGCGGACTGGGCTGTGCAGGGCAGGGCAGGGACTAGCCTTGGCGTTTGATAAATTCTAATTTCGTTTTGGGTGGGCGTTGATTTTTTTTTTTTTCTTTTTTCCTCTTCAGCAATGGAGTTGGGGTGTGTATGAATGGATGGATGGATGGATGGAAGATGGATGGGGGATACGATAGGATAGGATAGGATAGGACTGGACAGGACATGGTCAGTAGGATAAATAAATAGTATACTACTCTCAGTACATTATCTGGGTGAAGCCAATTCTTCAGGTCTATACATTCACTTATGATTGATACAGATATGTAGTAGTAAAATGCCGTATGTAAAATACTAGAATATTTAAAAATCATCACGCAATACCACAGGAATAATGACTACTAACTATAGACGAACTCGCAAGGCAGATAGGTAGGTGAACTAGTACTACTACATAGTACTATAGATAGTTTTTTAGTAAATAAAGTGCTGACTAGCAAGCGCATACACATGCACCTATTCTAGTCCCAACCAAGTCTAGACTACTACGTAGTAAAGTATGTAGAAGACTAGTAGAAAAGAAACAAATCAAACCGGTTTCTATTTTTTTGGTTACGCTTATTGATTGGTGTAAGTTATAGTGCTTAATGCTTGGTGCTTATTTTAGATATATTCAGTTTATATCTCTGAATGTTTTGGAAGATGTGCAAGGTCGTGCAAATGATCTGCAGTGGCTATAAACACTGGGGATTACGCGTCCTCAGGGATGGATGGATGAACTTGCAATTGTTTTGCCGAATTGAATGGAAAAATATCAATCAATACATTACTGAACAACTAATAGGAATTTGCTGAAATATCTAGAATAATGCATCATCATCATTCATGGATGATTAAGATGGTGGTGGTGGTTTATTTTTAGATACATAGCATTATTTATACATACAGGCTTTTGAGGTGGTATGGTATGTTTCAGCCCGGATTGATGGATGGGTTTACTGTGTAAGGGGGAAGTGGCGATAGTAGATAGGTAGAAGTAGTATGAAGTAACTTAGGATTGGCTCTCTGTGTAAGTAAGTATATTTAGTCTTGGAGTGGAGTGTTAACTAGGTAAGGAAAGGGGTTAAGTGGTAGTAGTGGTAGAAGTAGTAGTGTTGCTCCTTGTTATTTAGGTTGGAATGTGGGGATTGGTTGCTTTCGGTGCCAGGTACTAGTAAAAGAATGTTATATAATTGTAGAATTATATAGAATAAGTAATAGGGACTTTGTAGAATGAGGGGGAGCTGAACAAGGTATGATATGATATGTCACTAGAATAGTAGTAGTAGCAAGGGGAAGAAGGGTCACCATATTACTCCGTAGTAGTAGTACTTAGTATCAACAGTTGAAGATTCTGAATCCGCACTACTATTAAGTATTTGCCATAAGACTTCAGATATTATTTACGGGCCACTACATACATGAATTGCGTCGATTAGTATGATGATGGTCAAACTACTTCTTGACTTGTATATATATACATATTGGTTTCCATCTTATAGATGAGTAACCTCATCATTAGAAGCCAGCAATTCATTTATAGAATAAAGATGCTGATACATATTAGTGATGTCATGAGTACTAGTATTTTGATAACCTACTTATCTAGTAAGCTACAAGTGGTTCTATAACGAACTTCTACCTTTGGTACTACTAGTAGAAATAAATTCAATTGATGGTTATCATTCATATATTAATGAGTTTATCTGAGTAATAATTACCTACATAACACATCTCTTGTCTAAGTGACAAACCTACCAGTTCTCATACAGCTCACTAGCCCCTTGATAAGAACTGGTACGTACATGAGTAGCAAACGATCAACTGACTGCAGATCAGAACACCTCGTATCCTCCTAGAACTAACGAACTACCCACCGATCAACATGGGTAATCACGAAACGTTTTCGTTGGGCAGCAATCACTTCTGTCCCCTTCCCCTTTTATTTCCCGAGAGGTTGTTTTGGTCGTTATCAGAGAAAGAAAGAAAAAGACGCGAGGCAGAGTGGGGAAGGGAGATGATCGACTAGCGGCAATGACGAGATTCCGATAGTTTCGGCTAGGTACAGTGGTTGCTGGAGTAGCGTGGCTTAGTTTCTTACTCTGTAGGTTTCAGGTTCTGCCGGTTAGATAGGGGATGAGTATCCAGCATCAGTAGTGTATATTGTGGAGAGAATAGATATGGTCATGTGGTTGTATCTGGTGCTGTAACCTTGTATGGTTTAGCTAGGAGCTAAACAATGTTAGGTGATTGGGTGCGTACATGATGTGATGTGTTAATCATGAAGATTTCAGAGATCAGTAGTTAATACTATGTCTCATTTTTAGCTTATTTGTCGTGCGATGATCAGGAAATTATTGTAAGTTCTTGTGTGATGGAGAGTCCGACGCACGGATGCCAAGCTAGGAGATACAAACCTTGTGTTATTTTGGTGTTTGGTGTGTGTGCATGTGTTTCTAGATGCAATTATCTCTGGCGACTCCCGATGAATTGCGTTATCCTCTGGTAGCACTTGCTGCTGGCTCTGATTTGTACTGGATGGATAAAGATCGAGTTGTACACGCTGCATATTATGCGGGGTTCTGATCAGCATCTGCTGAGAGGTACTGTTAGCCAGTCGGCATATTTTTCAAAGTAATATAAAAGTGCCCAATCAAAGTACTTGGAGAATGGATCCATGTGAATGCGACTGTTGTGGACGGCGAGGCTCAAGGCCTAGACCTGGAATAGTCATCTTCAACGACAGCTTGATCCCCCGGGAGTCTGCGGACAAGCATCTCGTGTCTGATGTCAAGATAGACCAGCTGACAGCATCATGACCGATTGGTCTAGACAGTCACTGGAAGAAGCATCGAAGGTTCATGTAAGGACTGGATGGATGGGTGGAGCCCAGTCAGCCAGCAAGATGGTAGCTCGACGCTGGCCTGGACTGCTAAGGTTCCAATATTTAACCTTTCCGGTGCTCCAGGCATCCTCGCCAAGGACCTGGCTGTGGTAAAAGCAGCACCAATTAGACTTGACGTGTGAGTCACTGAGTCATCTCTCATTGCATTGAGATATTTTCTTCTTGTCTGAGGAAGTTTGACTGCTGCTGTTGTGCCACGCGGATTGATTAGGTGGCTTGTTGCTGCAGCCGCAGATGGCCAACTGCGCGATCAGGAGAAAGGCTCCAGGGAGCATTCCAGGTCATTGAGGAACATCAACCGCCCAGACAAGAATGAGAGAAAATGTCTGAACAGTCAAGTAAAGGTAAAAAAGTACATCGGGCCAGGCGGGTTCAACTGTCAAATAAGCTCTGCCCCACCCCTGACAAGGCCCGGAAAGGGTTGAACCAAGGAACCTTCTCGCCCGAGCCACCGGTGGGCTGATCTACGGGCGCTGACTGTCGGCGCTCGTGGATGGTGCCGGGTGTCTACCATGCCCGATCAAATTCATTGTGCTACTCTGCGCTGGAGAATGTGAATGCCATTATTGCACAGATCCCCCAAGCGATGGCCCGTCAGCATACATGTGCATCCGCCGGCTCGGCAGCCTCCCATCCCCGGTGCCACTGGTAGGATCGACAGCCATGGTGTGTAATGTTGTCGCACTCCCGATTGCAGAATTAAGTATTGGTCCCTGCGTCCGTGCAGGAGTCACAGACATACTCGGCAGCTTCTTGTCAGAGTGGCACAATTAGCACAGATGGGAGCTGAACCATCTTGAATTTGGGGAAAAATTTGCGTTACCGTGAAAGCTGAGGAATTGTCCAGGATGGAGCGAGGTGTACGAGGCGTCCTGCTGGAGCTACGTCAATGACTAGACGGCCACATGAAGAACATCAATTCTGCATCACGATGAAAGAGGGTGGTGATCTAAACACTCTGGAGTACAGAAGAATTGAGCTGAGCTCAAAGAGCCCATCGTGTAACTCCCTTCGACCATCCACTCCAACTTTCCCGGAAGACTCCTTGACGTTGTGGGAAGGGGAGTGATACAAGCAAGCAGTGTCGGGATCTGAGTCGAGCACAGGACTGCAGACTTCCCAAGTACTTTGGACGATGCCGACTTGTGTAAGGCGGAGAGACGGGATTCATAATCAGTTCATCGTCAGTTTCGAGAGTCTAGGCATCTCTTTGTCCTTACTACGCAGGGTAAAAGGTCTACAAAAGTGAGTTTCTAATTATACCTTTGAACTTCTGCTCTGCCTTGCTGTCTGATGCAGGCCAGGCAGACAAATATGGCAGTGGGGCGGTCGCATTAGCTTTGCGCATCACCGCGAAGATCATGGAGCCGGCGGATCTGCTGTGACGACGACACAGCGAGTGAGCGATTCGGGGAATGTGGATCGGCGACATTACCACCGCCATGCCGTCTGAGAGGGAACGCCCATCAGCCCAAGTAAGGAGCTGAAACGACCTACGGAGTACTTAGTTTCAACGTCCCAAGTATCATTTTTCTGATGATGATTTGTTTGCCTTGAGAGGTTCCCGTTATGCTCCGGAGTTTCTTTGCTGCCTGGAGGTTATGTTCCATAGCGACCTCAAACATAGCATCGTCAAGTAGTGTAGTACGCTATCGAAAGTCCTTCGAGTCTAGAGGAGAGGAGACGGACAAGAGTTTTTCAGCTACAGACGACAGCCATCGGACAGGATGGAGGGAGACAACAGTAGAATCCTCACCGGGAATTGCCACCTGTGTATCGGCACGGCTTAATTGGGCGATCGGAGTCGAAGGAGGGGGAAAGAACTTGAAAGACAAGTAAGTGCACGGAGCAACAAGAGCCTGAGGGGGGCAAAACAATTCTCAATAAATGGACTTGGTTCGGCGAAGATCAAAAACTGTCACCCCCTGTGTGGATCAGCAGGGACCTCTTGGGACTAGGAGGGGGGTTTTACCAAGGCAGCCGGCCATACTATCCAGTAGTAGTCTGCAGTAGTGCCCAGAGGAAGAAAAGAAAAGGGAGGAATGAAAATGCAGGAAGACAGATGGAGAAGGAGAACGAAGGAACTGGAAAGCAAAGAAAAGGAAAGGAAAGGAAAAATGGTGGGTGGGTTAGATTGAACATACAGTGTACATACAGTACATACAGTACAGCCAGGCAGGCAGTCAGTCAGTGACTGATGCATCCACCCATCCATCTCCCACACCCACTCTGGCTTCCCTCCCTCCACCCAATCCCAACCTCATTCTCTCCTTTCCTCCTCCCCTCCCTTTCTCCATTCCTTTCCATCCATCTCCCCCTCTCACACAATCCACCCACCCATGTGATGGATTCCAAAGATCCCCCCGAAGCTTCGTAATCCAGCAACTCGGCTGCACCGCTGACCCACCCACGCTGCTCAAGAAACGTCCAAGACTTGCTATTTTCTATAAGTCGAGGATGAAATCGATCCATCTTCATCGCCATGACCAATGTCATTCCCGATCGATAGGCCGTTTACGCGCCGCACAAATCAGAGTACGGAGTGCACCTCCCTGCAAGCGTCTTCATCCACACCATGTCTGGCGGACCTCAAACTATCGGTCTTCAGTCTGCAATGATCGGGTAGCCGACATAGGCCCTGGGACGAGTTGGCAAAATAGTCCCATCGCTTATGGCTTGCTCCCGGAGTAGCCGCCACGGGCTCAGCAGTCATAGATAGCCAGTCCTAGCCCTTCAGAGGGTCGGACTTTCGGTTTGGGGTCCGCGATCCGGTTCGGGCGCTAAAGTGGGTGATAAACCTGGGTTCCTTCTTCCGGACCCAGCCACGGTCCCACTCAGGGCTTTGAGAGAAACTGAAAAAAGAAAATAAGGGAATGAGCTTGACCTAACGCGAGCAATTGCATTCATCAAGCTTTTCCCGCCCAATACCGCCCGCGGTAACCCATGGATCTTCCTCTTCCCTTAATGGTTCCAGAAGGCCCAGCCCAGACCTTCCAGGCACTTCAAGTTTTCCAGTCGGGCGGTGGAGTCTCCCCCCCCCCCCCGAGTGACAGGCCTCCACTTTCACAGACAGAAAAACAAATACCAGGAGAATTATGTATTCAGCAAACAGGAAACGCAAATAAAAACAACAATGACATCCACCACCACATAGATACATTACGTGGATCATACCGAAGTAAGCAAGCATGAAATTTACAGCTGCAACAGAAAAACAACAAATCCAATAGAAAGAGACACTATCACCGAGTTCTGTCCGGCAACAAGCCCAACACCAGAAAACTACCACCACCAATAACCACCCGGAGCAATGGAAACCACCATCAGAACCCAAGCACTTTGACGGGCTGCTATGGGTCCTGTGTTTCCAGTGACTTCCTGCTGCAATCCCTTTATCCGGTCTCCATCTAGGTCAAGGTGGCTTCCCCCTTGGGCCAAGTGGTACCGCATCGTGGAGCCCGTGGAACCGGGTCCGTCGATAATGCTGCCCGCATCTAAGATAGTAGCAGTAGGAAAGAAAACAAAAAAAAAAAAAAAAAAAAAAAAAATCTCACTGCTCGCTCGCCGATGTCTGAGCGTCACTCAATCATACCGGGGGCTAGGTGTCCACTATTCTCCTCCTGCCCTCCTGATCGTGCTCATGAAGCAGCTTGGATTGAAAGCCATGTGTCTGGCTTGATGGGCTCAGCTGGTGAGCACTAGTAGCACTTCGGACACATACAACTCAGTGTATCTTATCGAAACGCGCTGGAAGAAGAGTGGGCATTTGACTTTGGATTATTTATAAGTAAGACTTTGTCCGTGTCTAGCCCTCTGGGGGTCTCTGTGATCCATCCACACAGATTCGTCACGGTTTCAACTCTTCCGGCCAAGGCAGTGATTCGACTACTCCCAGGTGGCAACCACGCCTTGAGCACCCGAAGCAGCGTCTGATACAAAACTTCCCCTTCCCCCTACTCTCTTTGAGATCACCATCCCCTGCCCTGCCACCCCCGATGCCAGGCACAGACGCCTCGATCTTTTAACCCCGAATTGTCAAGTCCTTTTTTTTTTTCATATTATTCCGCGAACTCTCGTCCGCTACACAAGGCCAAGGATAGGTCGCGCACATCCATTCTCTTCATATGACCATCGTGGTGCATGAAGCTCCGTGATTGGTCCTGTCAGTCTCTAACCCGTGTTCACATTTCCCAGATTCGGCTGCTTTCGTCCAGCGGTGCACTTCTCTTAAGCTCGTTCTCTTATCTCTCTCTCCATCATCACCTGCCGGACGCCCCCTTCATCCTCGTCCCTCAGGTAGGAGACCGAGTATAAGCTCCCCTCCTTTTCGCAATCTTTCCCGGTGTCCCTCCTCACTCCTATTTCCCCTTCGATCCGACGGAGGAATTCTTTCTTTTTCAGGCTGTATCAATATTGGGCTATGTACCCGTGACGTACTTTCATTCCTTGTGGCGGGCCCTTTATCCCTTTCAACCTACCTTTGTGACTTCTCTTTCTTCAAGTCCAAGTTCACGTTGGTGAGAAGAAGTGGAAAAAGAAAACGTATCACCATTCTTATCTGTGTCCGTCATTCCTTGACCTTGGCTCAAAATTTGCGAGGTGTGTTTTGTGACCAACCACATCTCATGATAATGATGCAAGTTACATATTGACGCGGTTGCTAGGCTGCTGGAACCAGTTTCGCACATCGAAGCCCCTTGGACAACATTAGGCTGCAATCTCAAGTGACTGTCTCTTTTTCTCCGTGTTGAGTTTGTCCAGGAAAATCAAAAATATTGGAAGAGGACAAAAAAATAAGATTGGAAGAAGAGCTATTATATCTGGGCGAGAACAAAGCAGAGGTAACACAAAACGGACTGCAGATTCCGTGAGTTGAGACCAAGCTTCCGCCAGTCACGTAAAGCAATTAAAAATGGCTGGCGGCTATTTTGATCTGCCCATATCCTCCACCTCCAGGCGTTCGAGCCTTACTGATGTATCTGGAGGAGCAAGCAGATCATCCCCAGGGCCGCGTGTCCTGACCCCCCTACCGACCCCCAATGAGAGCTCGCAGGAGAGGTTGCCGGATCCAAGCGGAGCTCAGGGCAGGCTGAGGAATGCAGCAATCCCCAGGAGCGCGAATCGGGTCAAATTCACGGTCAGTGAAGCTGGTCTTGGCACCAGTCCTTCTGGGTCGACGTCAGCGGCCCGGTTTGTTGGAAGGGGGTCGTCGCTACCGCAAAGACCATTGCCCACTGCCAGCATTCCATCAGCAGTTAAGGCTTCTCCTGACCCCCAATCAGTGCCTTTGATCGATATCAGCCCCAGTCCGAAAGTAGGTGTCACGGGCCTCACGGTCCACTCAGCACCCAGTTCCACGGGTGCCACTGGCGATGATGATGAGGTCAGTAATGAGAAGGGGAGGGCGATTCATTCAGCACAAGAGAGAGCCCAACGGCTGGCATCCGTGCTGCACCAATCCTCTAAAACTCCGAAGTCCAGTCCTTGGCCGAGTCGACCGTCCTCCATCGCATCTACTCCTTCAGAGGCGGCGCTACCCTTTGAGGATGGAGATGAGATTCCTATGATAAGTCTTTCCGAAAAGCAATTTGGCGATTTTACAGACGACGATGACCTGGGCCCACTGAACGGCCGACAATCGATCCGAACTTCTCAAGCCCACCAACTAGTCAGACAAATGACTCGAAGCGATTTTGATTTTTTGAGCCGGCTCCAAGCCCCCTCGGCAGGGCTGGAGTCTGGACAAGTTACTCCCCTTGAAGAAAGGGACTCTGACGCCTATGTCGAACGACCGACACAGTACCGCGGCGGCATCCTCTCCTCTTTACTCAAACTTTACGATCAACCCGGTGGCCACTATTCGCGGGGCCGGAATGCCAGCTTGCGCCGGAGCAGCACGGGAGAGTTCAGTAGTCGAGGGTTATCCCCAGACCCTACCTGGAAGTCTCAACGGCCCAGGAAATGGTATGAAAAATCACCTAACCAGTCGAGCACTTCGCTGGCTGGCTCGACGGCCAAGAACTCTACGAGCTCTCCAATCGCGATGCTCAAGCGCTCGCGTAGCAGTGGAGCCATTCCAAACGTACCAAAGCGGATGGGCAAGCCGCAGCTCGAGGATGAGATTCGTATCACGGTCCAGATAGCCGAACTTCTCTCCCGTCAGGGATATCTCATCCGGCTTTGCCGGGCTTTGATGAAGTACGGTGCTCCTACCCACCGAATGGAGGAATATATGAAGATGACGGCTCGCGTCTTGGAAGTTGATGGCCAGTTTCTGTATATACCTGGTTGCATGATTATCTCGTTTGATGATGCTTCTACCCACACCACCGAGGTTAGATTAGTCCGAAGTCCCCAGGGGGTTGATCTGGGCCGACTTTGCGATGTGCATCTGATTTACAAGGAGGTGATTCATGGTGTGATTGGAGTTGAAGAGGCCATTCAACGGTTGGACGAGATCCTGAAGCAGAAGAACAAGTACCCGGTGCCACTTGTTATTCTGGTTTACGGATGTGCCAGCGCCTGCGTCGGTCCTTTCGCGTTCAACGCACGACCCATTGATATGCCAATTGCCTTTTTGCTCGGAAGTCTTTTAGGAACCCTCCAGCTCGTACTTTCGCCACGTTCCAATCTTTACGCCAATGTTTTTGAGATCTCCGCAGCAGTCCTAACTTCGTTCTTGGCCCGGGCTTTTGGCAGCATCCGCTATGGAGATGGGCGGCTTTTCTGCTTTTCTGCTTTAGCCCAATCTTCGATCGCACTGATCCTGCCTGGATACATGGTGTTGTGTGCTAGTCTGGAGTTGCAATCGCGCAGCATTGTTGCCGGGTCAGTCCGCATGGTCTATGCCATCATCTACTCCCTCTTCCTCGGGTTCGGGATCACTATCGGAACCGC